GGAGTCCTGTGGAATTCATAACTTCTCTTGTTCCCCGGCTATCAGCGTTCTTTCGTCGAAGTAGCTTTTGATGGAGGATTTTTTATCGTTTATGCATTCTCCTACCGAAGCCCGGTGCCGATATTTCGATTTTTGTTCATTAGACCTGATTGAAGATTGTTGGCACGCCTCTCGGATAGCTTGAAAATAGGAGATCGGATCATTAAATTTTTTTTATTTAATTTGTTTATGAATGATGCATTGATCAAATTCTACAGTCACATAATAGAGCATCCTATAAATAAACATCAAGACTCCCACTACCATGCGTTATGCAACCTTTTGGTCATTAAAATTTAGGCCGATTCAATTAAAACCTAGATTATAGCTTAACATAAAGCAGGATGGGGGAGCGGATTGAGACTTGCGAATAACCTCTGCACGTAATTGAAGTACAGGGCAAAATTTCGAACAGTTGGCTCCTCTATATGTAGATTCGTTGTGTTTATCGTAAGCATAACGCGTTTTGTGGTAAAAGCTACTGTACGATGAATAACACACCAGACTTAAGTTACAGTTACTGCAATCGCTACTTGCTTGATGATTTTCGTGAGTTCATCGTTGAGGGCCGGTATTCTTGTTCTTCAAAACGCCAAGTATTTATGTGCTTGTATAAATATAGTATTACCGTTTGTCTCACGCTTAGCGTTTTCGTAAATTACGTATCAACGTCAAAACGAATATTAAGTTCTGCTTATCGCTGTCAGGGTTTTGTTAAAGCTTATTTTCTTTTGACTTAAATATACTCAGTGACATTAAAAGTGTTACACCACGAAAAAATAACTTCTCTCAACAGCAAATTCAATATCACGCCGTTCTCCACGGCGCCTTCTACGACCATCGTGCGTACTTAAGCAGAATCGCGATTTGTTGCTGGAGTTGGCATTAGGCCATTCTGCCTCCCAATGTTGCCGTTCTCTGCTCCAGGTAAAACGCTGACGACAGTGGTCTGCAGTCAGAGGAAGCACTAACCGTGAACGGTATGGAAAAAGTACAAAGGCTCGAATGCGGCGAGAGAGTGTACGCATAGCAACAGGTCTACCTTCTTCTCCAAACTATTAGTTAGCGATCTTACGCGTAGTAGCAAAACTGTCTCGTAGGGCTAGTTGGCTGGAGCGCCTATCTTGACGCCCCTTGGTACGCTTCGGTGGACTAGTTGGCCCTCTTTGTGTTCCTCTACCTTCTTCGGCGGCCAATTTCGCTATAGGACAAACCAACATCTCGATAGGCAATAATTCTAACGCTATCAAAGTCGCTAACATGGTGATCATTTGGACGTCTTCAAACTCGAGGCATTTTGTAATGCTTAACACTAAATGAAAGAGCAATAACTAAACATATCTGTACTACTCAGCTCACAAAAACTAACAGATAAAAAATGTCACCGAGTATATGAAAATAACTTTACTCAAAGGGTGTATTGTTTTCGGAAAACTTATACCCTCATGGTTGAAGATTATTTTAGATGATTTAATCACTTTTAATTCCGAACAGGTCTTATGTTACATAAAGTAATCTATCGACATTAGAGGTAAGAGATTTGTCTTTTATACCCGCTTGCTTACCCACCATTTATACCGGGTTGTTATACCGAGAGTTTCTGTGAATCCCTTGTTGACAATGTGCATGTCAGGTGTCGCTCCTTGGCGGACGGTGTATGGCTCTTGATGATGTCATCGTCGGAACGGGTGAATCCATTAATGAGAAACGCATTGGAAACACATTGGATATCGAGGTGCCTCTTATTATTTCAACACCCCGGCGAGTATGTCGGCAGCCGTCGTTGCTGACCAGAGGGAACTGCAGGATCTGCTCTCCAGAATGTATGCATCAGTATTCTGCAGTAATTGATGACGAGGTCATGTACGGGATGATTACTGAGAGGCGTTATTCATGAAGAGAGGGAGAGAAATCTGGTGGACATTCGTGGATAATACCCGACTTGTTCTTCAATCGTCACCTTTCGATCGGTCTTGCACATAGTTTTATAGCATGCAATCATATAGAAGGTGCAATACATAAAAAAGAACTGTTAGCTAGATTCTTGCAATAGCAAATCAAAGATCTAACCACCTCCGAAGAGGGTCATATCAGGAAATCAATACGCGCCTTTTGTGAACTACAACAGAGTTACTCTAATTTTGCACTCAAATATACTTGGAATAAGATGACATACCTTTTATCATATCATAGACAAATAAAATCTCACAACATTTATAACTTGTACTTAACCAGAATGATGTGATAACAACCATCGTTCAGCAGAGGTCTGGCCCCTTCCCTCCAAAGAGTATACAGAAATTATTAACCAAATAATCTCCCTTTTCGCATAATGGAATGCCCCTTAACATCTAATACCCAACGGGGTTAGTCATGTTTATTCATGAAGGGCAGTTTTCTCTTTCTTTTAGTCTCCCTTGCATAAACCAGACAAAACGTCGCCCGTTTATATTTATGTTGATTGCTTCGTGAGCGACTATGCCGCATCTAACAAGAACACTTTTAGTTTTCCTGGGATATTTTAGTGAAAGCTATTCAATATAATCGGTTTGATAGCGATTTAATCTCCATACGTGTCACTTGTGTACTAGCCAGTCAACGCCATAGAGGAATGTCACAGGGGCTTCGCACTCCATACGTAGAAAGAACATGTCTATCATCGTCTCAAGGGCAAATATATGGCGAAATTTGTATGAAATATGTATATAATAGGCACGTAGAATAATTGGGGCTATCAGTCTAAAATATATACCGCCAAAAATTTGCGATACACGCTCTCTCACGGCACTACAACCACCACCCCCAATTTTTTGCGCCTGAAAGATTCTCAAAAATGATCAGGAGTCTCTAGATTGTCAAAAAACGAAATTTGAGCGCATTTAATGGCGTCAGATTTTGGCTTTAAGACCGATTTTACTAAGCCGGCGCACCAAAAAACAGGCGGATCGCAAATTCAACCAAGAAGGCGTATTTGAACCAAAGAAAAATTATACTGTTTGTGTGAGGTAAATCTAGAAATACAATATCCATATTGATATGACAGCAATTAGATTTGGATTTAATGTATCTACTGTACAAAATTCTGTTTGATACATACATAAATACAATTCCCCAACAAAGATGGAGAACATAGCCAGTCTTCTTTACTTTACTACCTTGCGAAGAAGATCATTCAGTTAGGCCTGTTAACAGCGTGCTCTCTACTGGACGGTTGGACAACTACCTTTAACCTTGCCGCCACTGTGCAGCGTGGTCGCTTAGTCGTCCTCCCGTCCAGAAGAGTGCGCTTCCTCTTAACAATAAGTAAATTGATTATTTACTCGATGTTTGTTGAAGAATAAGCATTCTGTAATTAAGTCTTCAAAGAATTTATTAAGTAGAATTTTGTACAGCAGCAATTAGACACCGTGATTTACAATAAAGTGCTCAGTACTGGCATCATGTCAATCTATTGTATCAGGTTTGACCCATATGTCGATTAGGCTACAAATACTTTTCGACTGATGGAACACAAATGAAAAATAGATTTTTGTAGCTGAATTATCTGATGTATGAAGTATCTTTTGATTTAATATGAGAATTAGGAGCCCATCTTACACAAACCATTTCTTCCAAGGCGCCTTCTTATTGGTTAAACTTGTGCCAAAGGAGCAAATTTTGATTGCCGCTCGTCACTAGTGAAATCGGACCTTAGATTCACCTCCACTTGACCTATTTTCAAAAACTTTAAAGCTTGTTCGTCCTTGCGATGGTGGTAACCTTGAGTTAGATGGACAGACAGACCGCCAGTCCGACGGAACGGGTGACATGGTTTTTCGTGGTGTAGATGTCAAATAACGTCTAAAAAACATATTTTCTCATTTTCAAGATTTTTCGAAATTAAAATACTAGTAAAAGGCACTTAAGCCTGTTTGGTGGCTCAATTAGAAAAAAGCTAAACTCAAAACTAAAAAGTTTTGTAGTTTTTTTACATGGATCGGCAGCAAGAATATAGTCGTAACCGAAGTTAAAAGCTCACAATTTGATGGATTTGGCACATAAACAAATTACACTTAATCTACAAGTGAGGACAAATTTCACACATCTGAGGTTGGTCTGCTGATAACACTGTTGGGATAAGGGAGGAGAAAGAAATCTCACCTCATTTAAAATGTGTTTTGATAAAAAAAAACATATCTGTAAAACGAACGCAACCGACATTTGAATGTTTGCTTACCGTTGTCTGTCTCCAATGCCTAGACCTACACGGTACTGATGATTGCTAAAAGGTATGGAACAACGTTGTATACGATTGGTTATGGTCACTGGGACATATCCTATCCAATCCTTGCTCATATCTGTCAATATACTAGTGAAGCAGATAACCTCTTGTTCCTTCCTATCCACAGGACACTCCTCTCTGAGATCACGAAGAGCCAATAGTGTCTAACGTTGAAAATAACCTATTTTCTATTGGACGCCAGTAAGGAATGCCACCTTCCGATGAACCTAAAGCCTATCCCATATAAAAAATTCATAAAATTGTTGCCCGCATCCTATCTACATACATATGTGAAACGTAATATTCATTTACAGGCCCAAAATACATAATTGCCGTAGATTATGCCTATACATTAAATATATAATTTAACTGGTCGAATCCAGTGTTGAAGTCCATCGGGAACATGTTGTTCAAAGTGGGTCATACACGAATTCTCCAAAGGCAAAGATTATGCATTATAGCCATTAGTCGGGCATTTTCCATTATATAGCTGATGTAATATGAATGTCGTATTTAATACAATTCGAATATTGTGTGATGTCGTGCTTTAGAGCATTGTCAAATATGCAGGTGTTGTAATCAATGTTTAAAACCATATTGCCTGGAAACCGGTAGAACTTATTTCTATGAGTGTTTTTTGAAAGATATTATCTACCTCTTTCAAATAGAGCATTTTTGCAATGTTACGTTTGTTTGTTTCAGGAAAGCGACTGTGAGAGTAGCTTGGGCTCACCAGAACCAGCATCTTCGATGGCCATGGGCTCTGAAACGGGAACAGACCTGTCTATGGGCTTAAGACAACAACAGCAGACACTCATTAAAGAAGAAATCAGTATTAACGAATCTTCAAACATGATGCCGCCTTCTTCTTCAGCCTCCCATCTTAATGGAACAAGTAAGTACCTTGTAGACTTTAAACTCAGGTCAGTGTCAGTTATCAGAAGAACAAGCTGCTGTGTGCGTACAAACTAACTTATGTTTATCATAGCGACTAGAACTGCAAAAGAGTTTTACCACATGCCTTTGAAGACTTGACACGTATTTGGCTGTTATCATTTCCAGGTGAAGTTTAAAATACTTTTTGCAGGGTGTTTTGCCTAGTGGTAAAACTTTGTTGTGGTTAGACTAGAAAATCTGGAAATTTTTTGTTGGTAATCTTTTGATAATAAAACGCCTTGCCAAAAAGCATTAGTAATAAACTGTCTTCCAGATAGTTCATAAATTTATACACTTCTGCAACAACAAAATATTCTGCTTGGTAATGCAATATTTTTGTTTCAGTGGCTGGACTTGTAACGCTTCAAAATCTTCAGAACTTGGCTTCTCTACAGGGTCTTCCACAAGTGGCGTCCTTAGCTGCTGGTCTATCCAACATGGCGAACATTCCAGGAAGTCCTGTCGTGAATGCACCCCTCAATCTTAGTTTAAGCGCTTCAGGTAAGCTACAAATATCAATGCCTATACTAATTACACAGCCCGACAAAAAAATACAGGTTGAGATTTGAGAGACAGACCATGATATTAGTGTTTTTCGACGCTGAATCCAAATTCGGGATCGGATAAATTGCTAGACGTCTCGAAGGGGCACAAAAACCGCCCCACGAGGGATGAAAATTGAGCTTCGGATGCCAGATGCTGAAGCACAGTATTCCAATGTATTTTTCGCCCCCAAGACCAAAATCTACCGCTCACAGTTGAAAATAATTTCCGGATGCCAGATGCTGTCCTTTGAAGTCGATCCATATACAGGGTGACGGGAAAATAGATGCGGAGCCGGTGGGGGAAGCCAATCTGAGTCGATTTTACTATAGGAACTACTGTCCGAAAATTAGCCGTTTTCGAATTATACTAATTTTTAAGATTCTATAAAATTAACGTCCTTTATACGTTAACCAAGTCACGAAAACTTGAAAATTGGGTGTTTCATTTAATTTTTTTTTGTTTTACACTAAAAATATTCTAAAATACGCAAATTGATACTTAAATGTACATTAATGACGTTATCTCATGCAGTAACTTCATAATGTGTAGTTCGATTTTTGTTAAAAAAATCTTCGTTCATCCCAAAAGCTTCAGTTTACTAGAAAAAGTCGCATACAAATTTTTTCGTACAAAATAATTAGGAAACATCTACGTTTCATTACCTTTCAAATGAGGTATACAAATCACAAATCTATTAAGAATTGGCAAAAATATGACTATTATAAAAGGAGGAAGGAAAAAGCAATGAAAATACTACACTAAACAAAATCATACCTTTATACACGATAATTTGTTTGAAACTACATTTTTTATTTTTATAATACATTTTCAATAGGGCATCCTCTATTTCTGATGCACACACGTGCTCTTCTTATGACAGCTGATTTTACTACCGCCGAATTCCTAAGAGAGGCTTGAATTTCTTGTGCTGCATGTATTATCCTGTTTCTGAGGTCTTCTATTCTACAAAAATTTCTTAAGATATGTTCTGTTTAAATTACCTCCTAGGTATAGTTTTTGGGTCCAGGGGTGAACTCAGGGGTGTAGGGATCTTTTATACTACAAATTTAGATTTACCGTCGAAAATGCAAGAAAATTCGATGCTTCTGGCGTTCGAAACTCAATTTTCACGCCTCCGAGGCGTAGTTTTTGGGCCAGAGGGTGAATTCTAGACGTCTAGGAACTTTTTCGATCTCAGATTACAATGCAACGTCAAAACATACAAGGAAACATCATGGTATGTTTCTCTCTTAGCAGTTATAAAATATGACAATATCGGATAATGTATTCAAAATTATATATCAGTAATTATTTAGCTAACAGTTGGTAAAAGATATAAAGTCCTCGGATTTTGGAAATCTAGCTTAGTTGCACATATTGAAGCACTTGCTCAGAAAGTTCTCAAAATATTCTGCCGATTTAAGTCGAGAAAATACAACTAATGGTAGGTTATATCGAACCTGTTACGATGTTACCTTGAACTCAGCGGAAAATATACTACTCGTTTCTGTGAATAGATGAATCCAGCAACCAAATCCAGCAGCAATTTTCTTTAGCTATAAAATACCGCCTCAATATCCGATGCTATTAATTTGAAGAAAAAAGACACTCCAGTGTTTTTGTAGATAGTACATGCAATTCTGTTGTCCAAGGTGATACCGATCAAAATAAATATCCAAATGAGTAACTGAATAAGTGGGATTTTATGCTCCAGCCGCAACTCCAAGGAGCTCCCAGCATCCTCCGATGTCCGGTTCGAGAGCATCCATATCTTCTCCTCCTCCCGTAATGACCCCTCAGCCTCAGCAACAACAACCGCCCCCTACACACTTGATGGGAGGTGGGCAGCAACAGCAGCAGCAACAACCTAGCGGACCCATCCTGGGCGGCCAGCAACCTGCGCCTATGCCGCAGCTGATATTAGCTTCGGGGCAGCTGGTGCAGGGAATCCAGGGAGCGCAGCTGCTTATTCCAACTTCACAAGGTAACCCCAGCAAGTTTTTACTTAAAATGATCTATTGGCTTCGGTAATAATCTATCCGGGTATATTAGCCGCTCTTTTTTTGTTTACAGATATGATTCCAAAATGAAAAGTATATTGTTATACCAATACGAACATTCGATGTTAGTTTACGGTATCTTCAAGATATGGTGTTTTGAGGGTGTATTCAGATTATTTTTCCGGATGTTTGTATTCCGCGCTACGTAGGCTTATCATTTCGTACAAAGATCATTTATAGGACTTTGTTTTTTTATCAAATCGCGGCAACTTCGACCAGCTTTATAAGCAAAATGTGGCAGGGCAGTACTTGAATATTTTTCTTTTTTTTTTTCGCTTCTATTTTACCGCACTAAATATACATAAATGCTTTGTTATCAAAAGGTATAAAGGCAATTCACGTAGGTATATCATTGTTTTTTGTTGTTCTAGGCTTAGCGACGCAGACAATCCTGACAATCCCCGTAAATCACGTAAACAGTAACGACCAAATGGTGAACCTAGCACTAAACAATGGCCAGGTGATGCAAACTTCGCTGGCGAATCTGCAGGCGATGGCTCAAAGCAACCTACTACCCCCTGCCCCAGCTCCTCCTCCTCCTCTTACTCCTCCAACCTCTAACGGCAGTCAAATCAATCCCAACCTCCTCAACCCAGCAACGCTAACCCACCTGTTGTCCAATGGCTCAGCGCAGCAGATTCTACAGACGCTTCCACAGATCTTGAATACACCTCCTCCTAATCCCCCGCCACTAATCAACCCCATGCTCTCTACCCCGCCACAGATGATGCCAACGCCTACGTCACAACCTAGCAGCCAGCCCAGGCAGATCAATCCTACGAGCCATTATGTGGACACCAAGGTTTGTTTCATGCTTTATACCCTTATTATCATTATCTCTATCATCATTATCCATTATTATTATTATTATATATATATATATATATATGGTTGATTTTTCAATAGTTAATAGTTTTTCAAGTTCTTCCAAATCAATCAGTATTTAAAGGAAATTTTTAAAGAATAAAAAGACGTAGCTATTATTTGCCATTTATTAATAAAATAATTCCGTCCTAATCGAACCTCATCGGTCCAATTTTTTATTCGTCGACTATGTGTTCCCTTCACTGTCGTTTAAGAACAATTTCAGCAACAATCTCGCCGACTTACTCCAGACGATGAGGGCATAGACCTTCGAAAGCTCGAGTTTAAGTTATAAGAGTGTGCTTATGCAATAATTTGCCTTCTACCCAAAGAAATTCAAAGATATTTTCTCCTAACAGTTAATGCAATTAACTATGAATACAATATAATATATATATATATATATATATATATATATATACAGGGTGACTTTGAAGTTGAGTCATTAATTTTCAGATAATGATTGTAGAAGGAAGATAAACCAAAATATGTGTGTAAAAATAAAAAAAAAATAAAAAAAATTTTTTACCTTGTTTTATAAAGTATCCTCCCAACAAGTATTTCAGTGCGGACCTGTATTTGATCGTGAGGTGCCCTGTGAGGTCTTAAGTCACCTGATTCACGAGCCCGTTGTACTACATTAACAAAGGCACGAGGGGTTGGTTGCACTCGATTGGGAAACCGATCCGCATAAACATGTGACATTTTTTATTTCGTTTGAGCCACGCAACAGACACTATTCACACGCGACTGACACTGAATGTATGTATAACTGAACTGAATGAAATAAAAACGTCGTTCCAAATTCTTTCGCTTTTTTGTTTCCCATGCGATGAACCGATAAGGTGGATTATATCCGTTGTTGCCAAACACGAGTACATGATATTATTATTGAGACAGGGCGGTACTCAAACTTCCAAAGGGCTATAACTTTGTTACTTTAATTTTACCAGAAAAATGGTAAAGGAAAAAAACATTTCTTTTGATCAGATCTACTCACTGTTAAAATAAATGACTCAACTTCGAAGTCACCCTGTATATTTCTGTCAAATTCTTGAGCTTCGCAAACTCTAAACCAACGTAGTTCAATACTCTGGCGTTCAAAATATCCGAGTTTAAATGAAATACAATGGCATCATTTGTAAGGATTTGTCACAGCTATGTTTCTCCCATCTGCGATAATTGGAAGTCTACTTTGGAAAGCTTAGTGACTCATAGATAGCGCTGTAGCCAGCTATATGCTCTTATATGCTCATCTATCTTCAGGCAGAACATGTATATCAATGCTTGTAATTAGCTTGCGAATAATATGAGTTGTAACGAACAAAGAATTCCTCTTTGCCAAATGTTTATGGTATTACAGTAGACCCCACTTTATACCTCTGAGGAATAACTATCATCAGCATCACCATCATCACATTCATTTCAGTCACCGTAACAGAATAAATTAAAGCAGAGGAAGATACCATTCTTCTTAGTCATGAGGCCACGTAGTAAAAATGATATATGGAAAATTTTTGACGATTAGATACCAGATATATCGCTCTTCACTACGACCAATCACCTACTGATTGAATGAATGAATAAAGAAATACCGGCCGCCAAGAGGAGCCTACGCATAGGTCACGAGACCTTATGCACCACCACATTCCGTAAGTCTCAAGCGCCGCCCTTCTGGGGATGCAAAGTGTTGGATCCCAGAATAATTTGCCTGTAGTGGCTCAGACACAGAGCATGCGCCGAGAACTCTTCCTGTACCCCGCAGCGCTCACACATGGGGGCCTCAGTCACCCCCATCATCATGAAAGTGCGCCTAGTAATGTTATGGCCAGACAACAGTCCATCAACAACCTAAGGTTGACTCTATCCAAAGATAAGCAAAAGTATCTATCCTTAACTACCTACTGTTTATTTTTTTAGCATGTACCCCAAGCGCAGAGCCATCCGTCACCAACGGGGAACTGCGGCAATGGGATGATGGTGAACAGAATGCAGAGCAACGGCGACGTGAACGTGACTGCTGCTCACACGGGAATCACTACTTGTCAGAGCATCAAAAGATCACCATCCGCCCATTCGCCTAGCTGCAACGATAACTCCACTGCAGATTTGCTAGTCGACTCACCAAGTAAGTCATAACTGAAGGTTTCGTTAAGACTTCCATTCATATGTTCCACATAACACGTATAGAACAAGAAGCAATACGGGATGTTCTTAAAATTGGTAGAGCACATAGTGCTTGCAAAAATTTGTCCTAGTAACACCAACGCGCTATGAAGGTATACAGAGCAGATTTTATAATTCTGATTTGAAAAAATAAAGATGGCACATACTTATACAAACAACAAAATTGTTTGTTTGACGTTAGCTTACCGTGAATCTCTCCAAGATGTTGCTAATGCTCCATGGGTGTATTCAGATCGCTTTCCTGGACGTTTACATCCTGAGCTACGTTTTGTTTACCTGGTACAAAAGGCGTTTGCGTAGAAACGTCGAGGTGGGTACTTTAGAATACCTATACAAAAATGATCGCCTTAGTACTTACTAAACAGAATTTATTACATGAAACTGCTTCTATCGACGTTTATTCAAGATCCAAGTTATAATAATGCAGACTTTTGCCACAAAGTACAGTTTCCTACCTCCAATCATCTCGAGAAGATGAAGCATCATTACAAACTCATTTCTATCTTTACGTGGACACTCTTCAAAATGGCTGAAGTCCTGCAAGCCTACGATCTTATTCCGCTTTTGAGGGTGCATCTTTCATGTCATTACTATACTCCCCAGCATGTCTTTGTACCCAATATAATCGGATGCTTTTTATAAACTTAAGCAGTCTCGTACGCAGAAACCTACTTACCGGGGCACCGCGACTGCTATAAATATCTTATAGACATTAATCCTCAGGCAGACTGTTCGCGATTCCTGGGAGCGAAGAAGTACTTGCACCGGCCAGTTCTCGATGTATGAAGTTCGACAGAGTTGGGATGGAAGGCAGAAGCCTGACGGATCCGTCTGGTAGGCACAATGCGCGGCAAAATTATGAAGGGGAGGTCTGGGGAGCAAAGCGGTAGAAGATAGCAAGATCGCCGACCGCCGGTCGGTACGAAAGGCTCTCAAGAATGCCCGTTAGTGAAGTCGAACATCCATACAGAGTGAGAAGGTTGCGCGAAGGAAGATACTTCTGAGCCATAAACAAATATCCTAGTACAGACAATTGATCTGGACTCCGACCACCTCGTCCGTCGGATCAGATGGTTATTATTCCCTTAGACCCACTGCATTTCTGACTGCGGGATCCAAAAGAAATAAATGTTATAAACGGTCTGGAATATTGTGGTGAACCTTCAAGAGAAAGTATGAACCATGTTCGATGTCCAGTCCGCTACCACTTACGCCAGAAACCTCTTTGGTAATCATCCAAATATTGCGATTGACGTAAAATCAAGAACTATGAATGCTGAGGTAAAAAGTTTCTAACGTTGCTTACATATGTCACTCAAATGGTACATGCTACTGTTTTCCATTTGGCGTCGTTATTTCTTATTGATACCAGTAGATACTACTTACATTTCATCTCAATTTTTCAGGCTGTTAGTTGCCAATTGATATTGGGAAAATACCGCCACCCGGCTGCATCGTTGATGATAATGTCGCGACATTTTAATACATTATTATCATCTCGCGCGTCATACTCACATATTGATCTAAATATAACAAGTCATTAGATTTAATAGATTCTAATGCACGATTAACAAATTCATACATCGCATACAATACATGTCAAGTAACATTCGTACGGTTATTGTTATGTGAATTGGGTAATAGATTTATTTATCTTCAGACGCCTTATGTGCGTAATAACCAGAGGCGTACTAAGTATTAAATAGGTCACAGTTTGAGGAAATATTAGTGCCATATCACTAATTCTTCCAGGATTAGGTTTGTAGATTTAAATAGGAGACGGCACACAAGCCTATTATCACTGTAGCAGATAGGAATTTATTTCAGCTAACAATTTGCTCTCTTTTCTTTTTAGCCTTCTGAAAATAAAAATTTATACGAAAGTGTACCCTGTTCCTATCGACTAGAACAACCGCCATGTTTGGTTTTAATAATTTCTCCATGGATTAGTATGGATTTTACTTAAATAACTTTTGAAAACTTCATTCATGAATTTTAACAATGATCAGCTTTCCATACTGTGACTTGTGGAGTTTTTGTTTTCATGTCTTCTGATGTTTTTCTCCGTTTTTGACATTGCTCGACCTGAAACATTGTTGTAAGTAGTTGTTTTTTAATATTGTAATGAATATATATTCTTGCTCATTCAGTTCTTTTGTAACATTTGTTGAAGAAGAACATTTTCGAAAGCTTGGTATGAGCACAGAACAAACTTTCTTTCTGGCCTTCTGATTTTTGATGGCGTTACGGCTTCAGCCTCAAGATTTTCGTTCTGCCAGTATAAAATTTGCGTTTCATATAGCATTCGAATTTGCAATTTTGATTTCAAATATTTGAAGCATAAACCTTTTCAGAGAACATTTAGAAAAGTCAAGGTCCTGTTTGAACATCTACACTAACCTTGTTGCCTTCCTAACAATCCTAAGTAAACATTGTGGTAAATTTTGGCACATGTTCCTTTATTAACTTGCCTGTTTCCGTCCCAATTGGTGTACATCAGGACTTAGCTTTAGGTTTACTGGTTAACTTACTATTTTAGAGTTGATTGTCGTAGCCTAGAAATAGATAAGCATCCTAAGAAAGATTTGCCTAACAATTAGGTATGTTCAAATTGGGATTTCTACTTGGCACTGGAAACTAATTATACCAACAGCGAGCCAACTGTGTACAGTTGTTTCGTGCTTATTGCAATCTTTGGCACGTTCAGGCATGGTCTCAGATAACCGAACAAACGAAAGCAACGCAAAGCATCATGTATTCTAGGTATAAATGCTAGAAACCACCTATGCAATCATCATTTTGACTAGCGCGCCCCGTTGTTGAATTCCCGAACGAATCGGACTCTCTTTTTGTCAAAATATTCCTCCTCTTCCAGATCCTTCCCTTCACTGTAATAAGTGTTCTTCTTATCCTACATCTTCTAGAACTCCACAGATTGAGGATCATGTTCCTTCACATACAGCACGGGATCAGCGTGAATGTAGGCTACACTTTCAGCAGAGCCACACCTCGAAAGTTTTCATCTGCCTCTCAGTAGCAACAGTCAGTGTCCAAGTCCTGCTTAAACGACCCTGAGGTTCATGTCAACTGCTAGGCTTTGTCATTAGATACTGCACCTTCTTCCCGTACGAGTATTCTGGATCAGAGTTTTTGAATTTTGAAATTTCTCGTTACTTCAGCTATCTACGTATGGTTTATTCGTGTACCCTCACCACACGTCTCCTATTTATGATTAGGTGATCATCTGGGACTTTATTAGTGGATACACAAACTTCTGGGATACGCCATTGCCTTCTTTCAGCATTCTGACGACGATAAATAACTTGTGTCAACTTAATTAATTTCTCTCCACGTAGTGCGATGATTAGCTATTGTATCATCTCAGAGAGCTACCAAGCTTCATTATTATTGTTCTTTCATTCGAGCCAGTCGATTGCTTATTTACCCCTCATTACCACTAAATATAAAAAAAACTCCTTTTTTGTCTGATCAATAAGAGGCCTCAGAATATAAACAAAGACGTACATGTAACATGTGAAACAGTCATTCTGCTTGTCTCTTTAGATCATCATTGCCTCCGTTCCTCTTGTTGGCCAATGATTAAACTACAGAAAATGAAATACCATCCACTTATAGACAATACTGAATATATCACTGATAAAGAAAAAACGTTTCTAGACGTTAAACAGTTTGCTCTCGACAACATTTAATAATGGAAACGATTCGGTAGCTAGCTGCACGCATGAGCCAACGTCTTCAAGTAACCTATTCATTAGATTCCAAAAAATCTGCAATATCAAATGCAGCCCTATCCCCAGGCAGCTCTTTGTTTGTAAAGCGAATTTGAAGGAACCGAAAATACACGAACCTAGTAGCGAAGTTGTCGATTTGATATTAGATTACGATGAGTGCCTTTAAGGTGCTGCTGGTGATTCGTGTGTATAGATCGTCTTCCTGGACGTTTGCATCCCGCGCAGCGTATGTTCTTTTATCTCGTACAAAAACCGTTCGTAAATCAATCAGCAGTACATGGCTTCCATTGTCACCTACTTAACTCATCAAATTCTGTCAATAAAGCACTGAAATTCGTTATGAGAAATTCCAGTGAATCTATCGGTACACCAGCACTTATAGTTTTGTTTGTTGTTTCTAGGCTGGAATATGCAAGGATAATCTGAAACACATGCTATGTTACCTCATGTCAATCGTTGGCAAAAGTTCAGAGGAAATCCTTGAAGTACTTATAACTCAAAACCTATGGTGTTTATCACAAAATATGCTACTTCAAAATCATGAATGCCTTGAAGATAGAAGGAAGATTGAATCGCTTGTTCCTTTATTTAAAGTTGTGAGTACGAACAAGGACCAACCTTGCCTTTTACCTACCTACCCCACGAACGTACCTCCTGCTGCACTCACCCCTATATTCGAACAGTTTTAACAAGTTTAGTGTATTTCGACGCTTCAAGCCAGAAATCGGTTTGCAAACTGTTGGTGGTGTAATTAATAAATAAATAAATACATGTTTTAGAAAGGCCCAATTCTTATAATACTCTGTACAAGGTATGTATAGCCGCCTCTTGCTGGTAAGCAGAAACGTCGTCTCGCTGTGCATTCGGTATTATGTCCTCTAAGTAAAAACAAGCATTTCCCTTGTTTGTTACACCACCCTAATTGTTTATATTCTATCCATGCATATTTAACACGTCGCCAAATCAGCTTTTATTCCTTGAAAAATTCACGTCTCACCACCGCATTCAAAATAAGTGAATATTTGAAGGTGTTTCGTCACCAAGGAATCCACCGCAAACATCTACAAACTACCAGCCGACTAGATTTGTTTTATGGGAATATTGACAAACGGATGATATGTTTTACAATTGGCTGGTAGGCGTGGCCTTATGCATATGCAACGAGCCGATTGGTGCACGTAATAAAGGGGATGGTATTTTGTTGTCGTTTATAGAGCGACCGGATAAATTTTTAATTAGTCGCCCGGGTGTTTGTTCTTATTGGAAGACACTAGCCTGTGCGGTGGAGTTCAGGTTCGGAAATCAGGTCAGATATGATTTATTTTTAACCAAGAATTAATCGTGGATGCGACAACTAGATATTTGCTGTTTGGACATATGCAAGGCTGGGTGCAGGTAAATCCAGAGGTGAGGTATTTCTTCTTGGTTCGATCCTTTAGATAAGTTGGTTTTTGGGATAGTGGTAGACGTTTGGAAACTACGTACCGACAAATTCATATTTCATATTACAAACTTAAGAATGGAAATATCAAAAGCGCAAAGACCTAAGGGGCGCGACAGGACACCCCTAAACATAGAGCTGTGTATGTTTTTTGATCTTTTGCATCACTATTTTTTGAATTAGCAATTGTAGAAGTTAATGTAAAAATGTTAGTACATTATATATCCTCGTATTCCTAAAAAGTCGTCAAAATGATTCCAAATGTGCATAACTCCTACATAAGACAAAAGCATGTTCTTTCTGGTCTTTGGTCATTGTGCCAATATATCGGTATGACTGTCGGTAGTTAATCTCAGGAACCACTAAGTCCATTGTCGTCTTCGATCTTTGGGAGCGATATAGGTGTACATGATCGTCAGAGGACTATTGAGGTCCCATATTCAATGTGCACGAGCGGGATAGAGAGATAAACACGTTTGAAGGGGTACGTATGAAGCATCCACAGACTCTTGTTCTTCGTGACAAGCACGATTTATATTCGCGCTCTCGCTTTAACGCACTTATTTCTTTCTCTATCTCGCTCACACACTCTAAATATGGGACACCGATGGTTTTCTGCCGATACTGTATAGCTTTTCATGTTACCAATCATCTCCTTGGCCAATGATAAAGTATTTGTTTAGAAAACGTTCTCCTGCTTTTAAACAAAAAATCAAGAGTCTGAGCATTTTAGTGCCTTGGTACAGAAAAAACTTATACACTTATTGTTGAAAATTTCCTCGGAAATTTTGCAGTATCTTCGTCATACCACATTCACTTGTTCAGAACGTTTGGACATTCTGAATTTTTATGCTCATGATTTTTTTCAACTAATAAATTTTTTAGACATAACTACAGGCGCTGTATTGTTCCAAGTCAGCAGCGTTGGAACAGTGGTAGAAGTTATGGGTCTACTAAAATCAGTCGCCGTGCGCTGCGCGAGTTCGCATACCGTCTCAAGAGACGTTAACCCTTGGGCATGGAGTTTGTGATTGTCCATAGGTAGTAGACGGTCTCTGACTGTCGAACATGGAGTTACCACCCGGCGGATCTCTAAGGCGTGCACACGTGTTCCCTCGCTAGAGTCTCACGGTACCCATAGGCGTTTAGACCTTAGGCCTCCGTAAGAAAGTCTCACAGACTAAGCCTTTCATTAACGTTGGGCAAATTCAATTGTTTTTTTGATTAACTAAAAAATATATTTGATATTTCATCCAGTATTTGAAAGCAAAACAGCAGTTGTAGGTATTATGCGTGAATTTATATAGGACCAGGTATTTTTTATCTTTTATTTGTTCCGCTGTACCTTAAGTCAGTACAATTCTTGAATTTTGGATGGAAATCCTAGCATAAATTTAAGGTTACAATAAGCCCCAGGCTACAGTGTTATGGGGAACTAGGTTGGCTCGCAGGAGAAACTGTCAACTTGTCTGTTCAGCATAATTTATCTTTTGAAGACATAAGTGGATAAAGATATTATGTTACAAAATGCAAGTTCAAAGTTATATAGGAAAACGTGATTTGACTTGGAACTTTTTCCATTATTTTACGATTAAAATCACTTGTTCGATATGTTGAAGTGCGGTATTTTTATTGTACTAGCTTAATGACACTGAAAAATTATTAGTTTATCCATTGAAAATTAAACTGGGGTAGAATAACAGAATACGTGGAAAGAAGTGTCAAGTACTTTATTATTTTAAACAGATAATATTAATAAAGTGTAAAATATCATAAGATACTTTAAACTGTCTTCCTTTTCTTCTTTGGATGTTGTAAGTTCTCCTGTATTATACTTTCGTAATACATTTCGTATTCTTCATCTACAAGCTTTATTTCAGCATTGAGGTTTTGTAGTTTTTTTATAGTTAAATCTCCAAACCTTCGTGTTATCCTTGTTGGCTGACACTTGGGGCGGTCCCGGTTTTTTGCATTTTTCTTTCTTAAATCAACTTTAAAGGATGGCGTGTATTTTTTACGCCGATTTTTGAACTGCCTAAGGTTAGCAGAACTGAAAAAAGCCTCGTCATGTAGGTTTTCCACAATATCGATATCATAGGAGTAACAAATTCAGCTCCTAGGGATAAAAGAGCGGTCGAATCGGCCAGTTCTGGATGTACGAAGTTCGGCACGCTTAGGATGAGAGGCTGTCAGGAGCAAATCTCATTGGCTTAGCGGTAGAAGAGTGCTAGATCGCCGTCGGTCCGCTGATGTGAAAGGGTATCGAGGCTGTCCGTTAGAGAAAAGTCATCGATCCACTGATCGATAGCCCTCTGCGTCCTCAGCAGTGATAACCTCCAGGTCTCTCGTTAGAAGGAAGTGGCTGCTTAGTCTTCCTATCTCTAGCACATCGGCAGAGATCGGCTTGTCACTCTGGATCGTTCATATGAGAGAGGAACAATTTTGGAGCCAAAACCGATCCTTGGGGAACACCCGAGTTGAGATTGCAGGATGAAGAGGTGAAACCGTCTATTATGACGGATATCTTGCGGCCAGTACAACTTGACGCGTGCTTGACATCGAGTAAACTCGCAAAACATAGCCTCAAAGGTGGTATGTCACCAGCCACTAAGTTATCTGTCGATACTTATTTAGTTGATGGTGTTTTTAGGTCACATATTAGGATATAGCTCATTTAAGTGTTCCTTTTATGATATGGCCAAGACCCCGTACAATAAAAACATGTAATAACATTTGCAGGATTATCGCTTACATACATACGTTTTTGCAGATCAACCCACAATAAACCAAACCAACTCAAATGTAGTAGATGGCATCAACCTAGACGAGATCAAGGACTTCGCGAAGGCCTTCAAACTCAGAAGACTGTCATTAGGACTAACTCAAACACAAGTAGGACAAGCACTCAGCGTTACTGAGGGCCTGCCTACAGTCAAAGTGCCATTTGCAGGTGAGTAAGCAGTCAAAGAATACATGAATTTCGACTTACTTTCATCGACTCTGATAGCAAATAGCTCCAGCTTTAGACTTTGAGGGGATGTACATTTAGAAATATGCAAAGCCGAAATCGAGACACTGGGCTACTTGACGCTGTTTTCACATCAGAACGTCTTATTTGTCATTTGAACATAGCGATACTGGAGAAAGACTGAAACACAAAACTGAATTAGCTCTGTTATTTTTACCGATAGTACGACACTGATAATTTACTGTTTAGTCTTTATTTTCACTCTACTCCAACTCAATCAGATAGAACAATCGAAACGCCAATATTTGTTGTTTGGGATCTGACTGCTCCTACTTTCTCATTCCGTTTTTCATATTGTCGGTTTGAAAATCAATTGTTCTTTAGCGCACCACGAAATTACTTATCTACTCGTTTATCACATGAGTGTTATTCCACAAAAGTGAGTTATTGCCCAATTTGAGAAAGAATGCGCTATACCCGTACTGTGGGATGGACCCGGGAGCATATAAGCCGAAAAATAGTACCAAAAGTTCCAACAAGCAATGTCCTACGGGATTGCCCTATATAGACAGCGGCCTCTAAAAGACGCCACCTAATAATTGGTACGTTTCAAATGAATTTCGAATGACACTGCATAATTTAGCGAACGATCAAGCACACTGTAACCAGTTGAGTCCCCATGTGATTATTTCCTTGGAAATTGACTCATTTCGATCTTCAAATACGAACTAGCTCGAACAAAATATTGCTGATACTTTTTATATTCGGCATTAGAATGGATCAGCAATAATACTTTTGGATAGCCTGATCCGAAAACTCAAAAGACGTATTCTTGTTTGATCTCAAGAGAGTGATCGCTTTTTGAAAAAATAGCCTTTTCAGCAGTCCTCCTATCCATTTACACTGGAGTCGATCCTCAAGAAGCTCATATCATGAGGTTTTTTCAATCGCTTCCTACGAATCTCTTACTATAACTACGGAATATTTGGAAATGTGGAACCCAAATACTCCCCTTTTCTGAAAAACGTCTTATTTCATCTATATCAAACAAGAGTACCTACACTTTTTTTTATTTCATGTTCAGTGGCGTGACCTTAGATTTAAACCTTGCAACCCGATTCCATTGTGGAAAGTGCAAAGTTTATCCATTAATTTTGGCTGCCTCTTATATTCTTTCTGTTAATTCGTATTTTATATACGCGGATATTAGGTATATAATACACCGTCTTATAAAACTCATGAAGCCGAACGAAAAACTTCATGTGAACATTATGGCTTCGTTCCTGAAATACAGAATGTTCAAGTTCATTTCTAATACCGATACATTTAATTCCTCTTAAATTACTTAGGTGAAACTCTGTGAATCAACGGTAGGCAATGTTTCTAAAATAAGTTCCTTTAAACATAACTCCTAAAATGTTCAGTTACCAAGATTTAGGTAGTTTTTAGGCTCTCATTAGACTGAATAAGGGAAAAACATTGATACTGTTCAAATAACGCTATTGCGGAATTGGATTATCCTAGTAGGTACACTAGAGACAACTATCCTATTTTATCAGTGTATTTCAAAAGTAGAACGAGTGGGAATTTTTTATACGCATTTTATCACAAACATTCAAACCAACTCATCACCGGAAGGAGTAGCCTAACAAGAATTTCTCAAGAGAAGTAATCCGTATAAAATTGAATATTTAATTAACAGATGCAATAGATGTTTCAAAAAGGTCAGTGGCATAGAAAGTAATTTTCAATGTCTTCCGTAGTGATCAAAACCTCCCAATTTACTAAGCCTCTGGTGTATCCTATGGAACAATCTTTGTATATGTCGGCTACGTTATCAAAGCTACATGTACAAAATTTTAATTCCATATCTTAATACAACCCAAAGACATAATTTTTTTTTCGTTTTCGAAATTATAACTTCGACACCCTGTACGTTGGTAAGGGGGCATTTTGGAACCCATGTTTGTATAAAGTTTTCATATTTATTTTTCATCCACTTTGTGCCCTTAGTTATTTTGCCACGTTTTCTGAATCACCTTGTTTTTCTTCGGATTTTTTACAATTCTTTATTTATTGATGTTAAAAGTTGTTATAATGAAGAGCGTCCAAGTTTGATGGGTAAACCTTTTTATTTTAACAATGCAATTAAAACAGATTCACGAAAATCCATTCACTGGAACCGTGTTCAGAGGTTTTTATATTTTTGTCTTGTGGAGGTCCACTAGTTCAGGATTTGAAAAATATCGACTTTGAGTCATTATTATAGTCAGGTCAATATCGTAGCATAACATTGTATACCACTACTAACGCGGCCTTGCTCACCGACTTAGTTAATACAAAGGCACGCTGCGTTAACAGTAATGTAGGACGTGTTATGCTACTTCCTTCGGTTTGGGCACCCGAGTATATACAGGCCGCCTCGATAGCTTGGCAACCAGGGGCTTCGCCTCGGAAGTCAATGTCCAGCCATGGATGTCGTGTTGCTTGTTGTCTATATCACGCGCCATATCAACGATAGGTAGATCTCGCCGCTGGAGCTGGTTTATATCAGTTACCAGTAGACGGCTCGTGGATTAGTTCAGTGTTGGTAGTATGGGGTCAGCAAAAAGGGTCCAAGATGGCCTTGTTGCCAGGCTTCGCCTTCAAACCACTAATACTACTACATACCGGATGTTTCAAATTCGAACCCCACCATTGGGATCTTGGAAATAGGAAGAGATACGAAGTCGCTTAAATTGGGAAAAGTTGTGAATTTAGGTAATGAAGAGAAATCCGCTTAGAAAGTTTTGAAATTCAAAATACTTCCGGGGAGAGAGGGAGAACAACCGAAATTTCCAACCTTATTTTAATTTATTCCTGATGTTATTTGTAGAGGGATTTCAACATAAGGTTAGCACCTTTTCTCCTCTAGAAGATGGCATAATTTCAATATGACGTTACTTGATTTGTCCAGCAACAATTTTTCTTTGTGTGCACATAAAATGTTCTTGATTTAACTTCAAAAATGTATAATATGTCATGCATTAACATTGCCAAAGCTTATTACTCTAGAAAACATTAGTTCTTGAAATTATCAGATAGTCACTCGTTTCGCACACTAGACCAAGCCTCAAAATGAACATAGCAACAGAGTTGGAAGACTGAGAAGAAGCGAAATAAATCGAGCAGTGAGCAATGAGAAACAGCAACAGAGAAGGGTCAGGCTTTGCCTGCAATATAACAGACTTTTCAAACATCTGCTATGATTTGTTATTACCATGAATAAAATTTTCATGTTTGTTTTCTTTCCTTATAATTTTCATTTAAATGTTCAAAATTCCAATAAAACGGCTATATAAAAAAACAAAGTTAGTGATAGAAGTCGATAGCAGAAACGTCGAATTGAAAATCTGACTTCGTCATCTTGTAGGGGAGAATACGTAACAATGACAAGATGCAATTCATTTTGAAATCCCTTCTCAAATAAACTCAGGAAGAAACAAAAATTATTTTGGAATAAATCTTTTACGCAAAACAAATGGCATTTGATAATTTCAAGGCCTACCTAGGAAATTCCGATTTTTTGAAATAGCTATGATTTGGCAATGTGAATCTATGACATATTATATATTTTTGGAATACGAATTAAAACCTCTTTGCATCTGTGCAAAAATCTAATATGGCATCCATAATAAAAAAAATGAAGTTAATGCTGGAAGACGAGAGATAAAAGATCATTTTGGAATTCTGATTATGTCATCTCGTACAGGAGAAAAAGCAGCAATGTCAACGAGAAATTTATTTTAAAATCCCACTACAGCTAAAATCAGGAGAAAATTGAAACGATTTGGGAATTTCTTAATTACATAAATACAGTTTCCGAGATCGCAATGGTGAGGGTCAAATTTGAAACATCCGGTATACACAGCTCAACATCCTGCGTCCTGGATTCCATTATCTAAGGAAGGTCCCAATTGCTGAATTGTTTACTATGCAAAAAAAGTTTCTTGAAGTCATACGTATATTTCGAAAGTATAATGGAAATCCGATACCATTATTTTCAGTGCTTTCGATTTTATCCGATCGACTACAACAATGGAATTTAACATATTTGCATTTCTACACACTACGTGCAACACTTTGACATGCTCGAAATCAATATTTGAAATATATTAATATTATTTTGTGGTAGGTAGTCAGTTTCATGAAATATTTTCAATGTTAACGGTAATTTGTTTAAATGAACGAAATGCAACCATATTGATCTAGGTAATTTGGTATCAGATGGCACGATAATTTATAAGGACTAATATTTATTTTTTATGTGAGTGGAATACGTTTTTATTTCTACCTGACCCTCCTAAAGTTGTTTTGCTAGAAGATTTTCATGGTAGTGTATTTTTGCGATGATAATTGAATTCTTATCGGGCACATTAACATATTGACACTGGTATCAAAGATCATTTCAGAGCCCAATCACAAAGAGGTCGAAAAGAAAACATCTTTCTGAACCATTTCATCTCCACAATGAGATCCTCATGTTCTTCAAAATCAACCAGTCGGACACTGAAAGACATTTTAAAACGTTCTAAAGATAATTGGCGTCTCTTGATACATGGTGGAAAAAAATTTCAATCCTGTACAGCAAATTCACATTATGTTAGAGTAGAATTTGCGTATGTGCACCTTATAGCCATTTTTTTGCAGTAACGCGAAATAAAGGCGTGTGAAATACTTTCATACTTACTCGGTGTCGATTCCGGTATCTTTTACTTTATTAAGCCTGGTCATGTGGTAGCACAATCTACAATAATCAGTGCTCCACCAGCAGATTATATTCTGTATTCATTACGAAAAGCTCATTCTTTATGTTTTTTCTGATCGCCTCATGAAATCACAGATGTTTAAGTGAACGTTTACCAACGGTTCAAACGGAGGATGATTAGATGATTGTTAATTTTTGTGACCGCTACTGTACGTTCGTATAACTACCTGAATGGTCCCGAACCAAGTCGTGGCCGCACGAAGTCATCATTGTAACATTGAAAGCCCAGCAAATTTCAGTACCCTCCGGAACAAGCATTCTCGTTCCAAAAAGACGTCCAGCATCTCCAAGCGGCAATCGAGCATTTTTGTTGTTGCGAATCTACCATATACGTCACCCTAGTTCATCTTCGCAAAACTGCTGTCGCAACATTCAGGTTGACCAACTACTAGTGCTGCATGTGCATTGTTCATTGACTCTTAATGCGAGAAATAATACTGTATTGCTTATACTGTGAATAAATAATATAACACAACAGTTCGGTTTCAGGGTGGCGAAGTAAAACCTCTGCAAATTTGGGATTCAATTACAAACCATTAGGAAAACATGTAAAAACATGGTCGGCTTCCTTGAAAGAACGCACTAAGTAGTTGCGGGAAAAACAAATGAACTGTCACCTGGAAGACGAATAAGATATTTTGTCGGTATTTTGAATTATACTTGACCACCGAGGTATACAAAACGTTAGCAAACTTCAAATTTCAACATCTGTGGTCTTCACTTGGCGACCATCAAAACATTAAAATTGATCAGCGAGTTACCCAGATGTTACATTGAGCTTATTTTCAAGCTGATGCTTCTTCGTTCAGTCACTCCTAAAATTTCTGTACTATATTATGTATCATTTAGTGGCGGCGTTTGCTATCAGAGGGTGAAAAGCGTTAAACTAGCAGGAACAGCAGCAATTCAAGCTATTTTTCCTTCTATACTAACACACCAACACACGTACACATAGTGAAAGCGCAACAGGTGGGGATTGTTTTATATTTTATTAGAGCCCCAATAGCACAGCATATTGCACCAGACAACATTGTGTGCGTATTATATGTATATTATCATGTGCCCGTACACATATAATATTATGCGGTGTACATCATTCGAATTCATCTACGGCACGAACGATTATTCGAGTTCATTACGCAGTATTAATTAGATAGTTGAAATAATCGGGATTTCGGTTTGCTTTTGTCTATTTAACACGTAATGTGGGAGTTAAATTTCACAACCGTTTTCAGGATTCCCACAGTTCTCAAATAATTTCAAAATATCTTTCTCATTTAAGCAAAATCGCAGTTACGTCTTGCTAGATTCTGTGCGAAGCAAGTTAAAGTAACATTTTGAGCTGTATCAAAATTATGACCCAGTAAAGTAATGCCAAAGGTGCATAGGTATGAGTAGGATGTAACACTGGTCGAGTTTTTTAGATTTAGGCTAAGCCCTTAGTAGCGTCGAGTTCCTGGAAAAGAATTAAGAATCCGAGAAATTCTAAAATGCACCAGCGCGGCCTAAGTGAACGGAGCTTTCATACCTTGGGGCTAAGAGGGAGTGATGAAATTCAAACCTGACCTGTTGCGCTATTGAAATGCGTATGTAATACCGTACGTAGAATTTTTAATTACGCCCAGTCAATTCTCAGGTTACTATCAGTATAAAGGTTTTAATAGACATCGGTTGAAAAATTGTACATGAATAACTTACCATTAGTACAGATTCTTATCCTTTGTTACGAATGCCATTTTTAAGTAAGAACCGTTTTAAAATAGAATTACAGAAATTCTATTCACGAAAGTAAATTATGTCACAAAGAAAAGAATTGATATTTTTTTTTTTCATTTTTCAACATAGTCTCCATGAATATCTGAACATTTGTCAGGTCGTGGCAGCAGTTTTTGGATCCCTTCAGCAAAGAACGCTGCCGCCTGACCGTTAAAGCAGTTAGTAACCGTTTCTTCCGACATATCATCATCCCCAAAGCGCTTCCCACCAAGAAGTTCCTTAAGATTTGGATAAAGATGATATTAAATCAGTGCTGTATGGTGGATGATCCAGTCATTCCCAAAGGAACTTCTTCAGCTGGGTTTGTGTTCTTGCCGCTACGTAGGACCGCGCTTTGCCGTGAAGTAGAATGAAGCCGCTAGAGAGCAGGCGTAGGCAGCGTACCTAAGTTACTAGGGTACTTTACAATCGGCAGGTTTGTTGAGTGACATGGCGACAAACCGATAGGGATATGAAACGTAGTGGAGGCGTAGTGAAAGGCTGGCCAATAGTTTCAGAGGTTGAGCAGACGTCACGTGAAATGACTTTAAAAATGGCCCTCATATAAAACTCTTGATAATCGTTAAACTCGAAAAAATATTAGCACGTATAATTCGAGATTGAATTCTGTCATATGCAGTGATGAATGCAGTGGGAGCTAAGAATAACTTATGGCGTTTGATGAAACTCACTCCTATATAATTTGAACCATCCTACATTTTTTTTTGTGTCTGTTACCGCTTATTTAATTTAGAAATACTTGTGTAACATATCCAGATTGTGTAAGAAAATGTATCTCCAAATTGCTACTCTCACCATTTGGAGAGCTGTATCTAAATAGTACCGGGCGAATTAAAAGTTCTACGTAGTCAAGAAAAGAAACCTACGATGTACAGGTATACCGTAAGTAATGATTGGTTTGTTCCCAGTGCCCTGGCTTCTCAGATGTTTGCGGCTGCGCAACTTTCTTCACAGCAACAAGCAATGTATGTTCATTTTTTCGTTTACATGTACTTATAGTAATTACTGTTGAGACTGCTTTTACTACCTAGCTACCACCTTTATGCATGAATGTAGGTCACACTCTGCCAAAAATGAAGTAAAAGCAGTCTTGTATCTTCCATAGAAATACAAATTTGTTGAATAACAAATTCCCTTTTCTGTAATGTCATTTTGATCAGCATTTGTAGACTCAACTGTTCCAAATCCCAGTAGGAAATCTTATACATTTCCAGCAAGTATCGCTATTTAAACAATATTTGGTATTTCGGATAAACGCCTTTAATCGCGTAAGGTTGAAAGACTCAAGAATATCCTCCAAATATGATTTGAGATTACTCGTTGTCTATGGATAATTTTGCTTACAAATATACTTTGAGACACTATTTTTCAATCTATGACTTTCACATATTTTTTCTACTCCCCTAACAGATATGTTTGTACTTTTGTATTTCTATGGTGGTTCTCACTTATAGTATCACTCCTAGTGGTAGTAGTAGTAATACTACTAGTACTAGTGTCAGTAGACTTTTGTATATTTATTGTGGTCGTATTTTCGCCAGGGCACTGGCATTTTAACTCGAATCACGTGAATCTATTTTATCTAGTATGCTAGTGTCCTGTGCCAAAATACCTATGTTACTTGGTGATTCCAGAACGATGATGTTAATCATGAACATGTTCTCAGGGCAACATTAATGTACAGTGTGTACATTCTTCAAGTTTTAAATCGTATTCAATTCGTTCTTGTGCATCTCAAACTTACGATTATGGGATCAAAAAATACATTTTGTAGGAATTTGTATTTGTATGTAATTTGATATACCCCTAGTTATAGAACTAAGACCGCACAAAACGCAAGCTGTCTCTTAGGCCCGTATCGTCAGTCGTTCCTATAATTGTAGGGCGCCTTTATGGCCTCCTTGATTGTCATAGTTTTCTACTTTCCGGGTCAGCGCTCTATTTTGAGATTATGTCACAAATATCTATTTTCATGATTGCTTTTGAGTTATATGATGTTTCATCAGCCTGAAATTTCCTACAATTTGAAAAGAAAACATATCTTCAAAATATTAGAGCGCTGACGCTGACACGAGACAGGTGCAATCTAGAAATTTTTGAAGGAGAGAAAGGAGTATGACAATCAAGGAGGCCATAAACGCGCCCTACAATTGTAGGAACGACTGACTATACAGGCCTTAGAGCTTGGAATAATATCCCAATTTGCATTTGACAGCCGGATCACTACTGTGGCCGCTGGATGTTGTCGATTCTGGCGTCAGTAAATAATCTAGTAATACAGCTTTTGTTCATCCAACCGCTGACAACCAAACATGCACACTTGTTTAGTGCTATTCGACATCTCTCAACGTAGTCTAGGCATGGTCTCAGGTAGGATATAAAGTGCCATCTATTACCAGAAACAGCAAGCAATACTGATGTGATGCCAGATAGGATGAAACAGCTGTCCATGGTTGACCGTCTTTGGTCGTACGAACGAAGGCTGCATTACTAGCTTGTTCAGTGGCGAGTAGGCCGTATCTACTCTAACGCCAGAATCGATGGCATCTATCGGGCAGAGTAGGGCATGAGTAAGTACTTTATGCTACATCTTCGTTATGGGATCACTAATATATTATTGCGTGCTTACTAATTTGGGTCTATCTAGGTTCGAGAAACTTGACATCACACCAAAAAGTGCCCAAAAAATCAAGCCAGTATTAGAAAGATGGATGAAAGAAGCGGAAGATCGGTAAGATATTCATTGAATTTATCGCAACAATAACTTAATTCGTTGGTAGAGAATCTCAAGATACTTTGTTTAGATTATATCATAATGCATCTTGGTATACTGTGTGCGCTGGCAATTTTTTCGTGAAAAGATCTTTTTTTGGAAGGGTTAGAGCTCTCATAAAACCGGGACCCTAAGCACGTACCTTTGGTGTCCATAGGGTGAAGACGGAATAGAATTTTAGTTATCCTGATAAAAGAACATTTTTTGATTTACAAAGATAGGATTATTGACAAATTTCAATTTCCATTGTTTTCAGATACAAAAGTGGTCAAAACCACCTGACGGACTTTATAGGAATAGAACCATCAAAGAAAAGAAAAAGAAGAACGTCCTTCACTCCACAAGCACTGGAGTTGTTGAATGCACATTTCGAAAGGAATACTCATCCATCAGGTAAAAATCAAACACCTTTCAGGTCAAAAATTATAACCTGTAGATACAAAAACAAAAACCTTCCACGAAAAAATATAGCCTGTTGCTATAATATTTCGTATTTATGTATAGAAATCATTGGATGCATTCAAATAAGCCGTACAGTGCTGTATCGCAGTGGCCTTGGAACAGGTATGACAATTCGTAGCAGTTTTATCTTGACGCCAGGGGTACCAGTGGCGCTTTGTCAAGGTTGTCATATAGGGGAATTCCCTCCAAATTTGGAGGATTTTTACTTGGGAATTCTTTCGGGGGTAAAATGCTCTGGGGGATTACACGCGTTTCGCGGAAATAAAGCTTCCCCCTCATTTGAACCAAACCTCTCCATTAATTAACTGTGATTTAGGGGATGTTTTACTTTTGTTTTTTATTTTTTTGAAGAGGTAGCAGTTATGAGGGAAGTTTGTGCTTCTTCAGGGGAAATTCTGCTCGACCCATACGGCAATGCTGTGTTTTGACAGATCCGCCATATGAACAGCAATAAAATTGCCATTTAGCTGATTGTTAATCAACTCAATCGGTGGTGTAATTAGTCGGAAATCTGTTAGAAATTGTTACTAGTATTTAGCTATATGTGAAGAACCGTCGAAAAGCCTCCCTTTGTGCAGTATTGAAATGTTTAACGAAGGGGAACAGTAACATGTTCATTGATTGAAATGCCTGCTAATTTCCAAAATGCTGGTGGAAACCTCAATCTTTTGTCCAAAGATCGACCAGATTTATGGATTATTTCATTGAATTTACAAGAATAACCAAAAAATGCAAGAATTTTCTCCATGAGTTTTGGAAAAAGTAACGTCTTGACAACTAAAAATGATGTTTATTGAAAAAATAAAAATTAGGAACAAAAGAAAAGAAGCATATCCCACAATAAACATATACAACACCACAAGAAGCAAATGCTTGTGCGTGGGGGAATATACCCATTGACCTACACTTTCAACTTATCATTGCCCTGCTATAGTACATTTTCTCTCTCATGACGTTGAATATTTATAAAATATATTGATAAAAGCTATTGGAATATACAAAGCGGTCACAATTTTTTTAATTTCAAGAACCTACATATAAAAAACAGAAGTATAAAAGTATTACCTAACCAACGGCTTACTAATTTGTTAGAACATTTATATAAAAAAAAACCTAATAGGTGAGTCAAACATTTATATCATATATAGTAAAATCGGTAGCTGATTTTTTCTTAATATCAACATGACACACTAAATGCAAGTGTAATATTTTACGTATTTTCTATAATTCTGTGAACCTGTTCTTGTCCTTTTTCAAATAAGAATTTTTTATCCCTTTTTTAAATTTTGGAAACGAAGATATTTTTTTATTCAATCAGGCAGCAAGTTATATAACCGACTGGCGAGATACGTCTAGCATTTTCAAAGATAAACAACGTGTATTTTATATGAGTTACAGCAGATTCAACCGACAAGGATGATCCTGATTGGGACCGTAGTCAAAATATACAATCTCACGAATTGGATTTTAAAAGCTAATTATTATAGCTAGAGAGCAACTTACAGATTTTTCCTAACCTCAGATATTCTGCGCATGCCTAGTAGCTCGTACACTCCGATCACTGAGACCTCAGTCAGATCGTTTCTTTCATTTCGCAGGTTCTCTTGGTATATAGGCCTCATGAACTTGCCTATCAGACTTAACAGTTGGTCTTGTGTCAAACTGTCAAAACTACGCCTACTGCGATACAGCACAAAACCGCTGCATCGCTGAACCGCTTTAGTTCACCCGAATTGTGCAATGTAATGAATGAAGATCCAAATATTTCTGATGATCATAGCTGTTTAAGGAAGTAGTTTCTCAAGACTTACGTAGTTGACTTGAACAGCTATTTCGAGTGAACCGAAGAAGTGATAATCTAATAGCTCCATTACAATAGAGGACGCATAAAATAAAAAATGTGTACTTTCAGGAACGGAAATTACGGGTCTAGCACATCAACTAGGGTACGAAAGAGAAGTCATCCGAATTTGGTTTTGCAACAAAAGGCAAGCTCTGAAAAATACAGTGAGGATGATGTCGAAAGGAATGGTGTAACCTTCTGATTGGACTAAAACTTTGTAAATAGGATTTGAAGCTTGCGGATGACCCGCAACTAGTTTTGTAATAAGCGCTATAATTTATTATTTATTTGAACATAACAGCAACTAACTTTTGTTTTTTAAATTGTATAAAGCATTCTAAATAAAAGCCTCAGTCATCAAATAAACTCCGAACGGGTATGAGTCAACTTGTTTATTTTTCAGCTAAAACGTGAGACTTCTTCTGTAAAGACTTAACTGTACTGAATCAAAAAACAATGGCAGTGTTTATACTGTAGATAGCCAGATGCTGATATAGCGTATAGCTCCGCATGTCCCGCGGTGCAAACGGACACAGAAAAGCATCTTTGCACAGTGTTATGTGGCTATCTAAGCGCTTAGCTATCGACAGTGTAAACTTGGCCAGTATATGAAATGATAAACATAATAGTCAAGTTGCATTTACGCTATTCTGCATGACTGGGGCTCTACCGTTTTGGGAGGGTGGTATGAACGTATTTCATTACAGGAAGGAAAGTGATCATACACATTTGCTTAAATATATGTAATAAACGTTGCCTATACTTGGGAACCAAAAAGGAAGAGAGCAGCGAAACACATCGCACGCCCATGCTAATGCGTGACGAAGAAAATAGAACACCAAAAATTATTTCATTTGAATGAAATTTTGTGTACAGCCAAACATAAACAAGAGGGAGTATGCTTCTGAGGAGGTGGCTTATGTCGTCTCGAGGTATCGCATCCCAAGTTGACTGTATTTGATGCCGAAGGGCTGCTAACGTTGGTGGAAGGTATGATAAGCACATGTTTGTCCCATCTTCCCGTATAATATATCGCACTGGAGGATGTAGAAGGCCAAGGAAGGAGCTTGATTTTTCCGTTATTAGTCTAATGTAGCTGTAACGAATAGCCGTTTGGAGAAATGGTGAGAGATCGGGTTCTAGTATCTCCTGGACAAATAGTTGCGCACTCGTTCCTTCTGTAATCAAGTGGCATCTCAAACATGACTCCTACAGTATGGTTCACGTTACGTTCAACTGAAAGCATTACTTCATGTGTTTTTCGGAAGCAGTCGTGCCTGTCCATCATGCATCCCTTAAACAGAACTGAGACCGAGACAATTGGTAAGAGCCAGTTACGCTTAAGAATAAAGTGACTACTGGTTTCCATTAGAGAAGGTACGATGGCGCAATGGTATGTCGAGGGAAACGAGTAAAAACCCTATTTTCTATATGGTAGAGCTATAATAGACGACAAAATAGACAATAGCGCTGAAGTCAGCCTCCTTTCTTAGCCTCCAAGAAATCTCTTTCGACATTGAACATGTGTGAAATATGATGGAAGCAGTGATGGGCGTTTACGCCTATAATTTAATTGTCTACGTTTCATTGTAGTCAATGTAAACAATACGTATACAGTATAATATACAATGGTGAAGGCATTGTGTATGCAATATTTCACAAGTATCCATCATGCTTTGACGTCTACTGAGCTGAAAAGCATCAACTTGTGACATTGGCTATAATGAATCGGGTGTAAATCTAGCAAAACATTGATTGTAGCGTCTTGTTTTTTATATGCAGATGAACTTTTATAAATAGAACAGCTTTTAGCAAATACAAAATGAATCTGTAGCCGATAAAAAAAGCAGAACAAAATATGGCTCTGTCTACCTGGGATTGACGGATCCGTCAGTATTATGTGTCCTTTATCGATATGGGGAATTTTGAAATATTTCTAGATAACCAGCTGTCATTCTACCATGATGGATACCCGTGAAATAGGGTATAGAATAGCATAAGTGAGGTTAGGTTTACTTGCAGACGTCAAAAGATTGGTTAGCCGCGGCAACAATAAAAACAATACGGTTGGGCGCAATGAAAATGATGAAACAGGGTTGATTTTGTTCAAAGATGGCAAACATGTCCTTAAATCGCCCAAGTAAGTTACATTTAGTCATATCGTAATATACGATATTGAAGCGCTATTTTACCATTTTAACTTATAATAAAACCTTTTGTATTTTGGGATGCGGTGGAAATAGATCACCACCGTAAATTAGTCGGACTTGCTCTGAAGTCATTCCAGGTTCATCATCACAGGTCGAAATAATGCTTGACCTCATGATTGACCAATAGCGGTCTTGCCAATCTTAATACTGACGATGCCGACGACGCTTAATGAAATCACTCAAATGGGCGAATTTTGTTTCCAGAATGTACCTATTTTTTAGAAATGTTTATTTATTTGAAACTATAACTTTGTATACATAGGTGATGAATTACTATGTGTATACCTTTCCTGATTATTTAAAAATCATGTTACATCTATGCAAGCGATCTAATTGAACTATTTTTTGTTATTATATACATTGTCTACATTGTTTGCGTTGTCTACATGAATATCAAGACATACACGTAAACAATCGTGAACATTACATGACTTATAAAATGCGCCCATCACTGAATGGGAGGACAAGTGGCCCCTTTTTTAATCTTCCACAAATGGTAATGGCTTTTGGCATACAAAGCACAACTAGGTTGGCGTGAGACACCATCAGAAAATATCACGTCAGAAGCACGGAAAAATTCTCACGACTTTGGGTGACCCAGTACATTGTTAGAGAAATCTAGCCATACAGCAAGTGTTTTCACTTCGAAATTTAATCCTTCCTATTGTTCATACCTAAGTGTTTGCAACTTAATCAGATGAAATAATTTTAGTGGGTGTTCTGCTTTCTTACTCCTTCCTATCTTATTGTGAAGATTCCCAATAATTGGAAGGATGTATGTGGAAATAATCGTGCAGCCTGTTTGATGTAAATGAATTTGAGTACGGCACTGACTTTTATCAGATTCATCATTGCCATCAGCCAGGGTCGTCTTAAGCTATGTGTGGACCCCTGCTCGCAGGATTCTCGGAGCTTGTGCCTGGAGGGGTCCCAGGCCAGTGCAAAGTCTGGGGCAATATTTTGCCGTTGGGAGAGGGGGGCGGTGTCGGTAGCCAAGTGGCTGGCGCGCCGAGCTAGCAATCGGTCGTCGGTCGATCTGACGCTTGCGGATTGTATTCCCTGCCTCGGAAGCTAATTCCGAGCCATGGATGATGTGTTGTGTGTTATATTATCTGATTAGCGTCAGGGGAGATTTTTCAATTTCGTTTAATTTTTTCCCATATGCCAACAGTAGAGTCCCAGTTCATAGATGCATCTGACTGATCAGCTGTTTACCCGAAAAGATGTCAAAAGGTGCCGAAGTACCGTGGAAAACAAAAGCTGCGAGATTGAGACATGCATTCGTCTTATCCTTGTCAGAAAAAATTGCAACAAGCACGTATTGCCAAGAAGTTTAGTTGTCATATCAAAACGTGGGCCACTTTAGTTAGGCGATCTGTTCTGCTTTTCACTTCAGTCTTCTATCTAAGTGAAAATGACTACTTTCCTTGTCTGCCAAAATATTTTACATATCTAAAAAATGATGTATACGATATCCGGATATTTATTACCGACAAATGTATCATAAGCATCCAGTTATCTACTGTATCAGTTGAACCACAAAAATAAATGCTGGTTTTGCATAAGCATAAGAGCTAAATCTTATCATCTTCAAGATCAATCTTGTTATGCTTATGACAACGGCTTATGACTATGATTAAGACAAGTTGTGTAAACCCACTCATATCCATTTCAATACTCTTGTCTATATGCCATAAGACAAAATCAAATCGTTCGAAATCGGTTATTGATATTTTTAAACAACTGAATTTAAAAATTGCGATCCAGCTCTTGCCAATTTATTACAATAAAGTTCTGTTACAGCATTCATCCAGGTATTCCACAAAAAAAACTCTACTCTGGTATGCATTTGTCCGTAATTACTGTGGCCACCAATAACATTGATTAACATATTCAACCTGATAGCCAGCCTAATACTATATTTGCGAGTCCGATAGATCATCCGAGATGAAATGAGATACTGTAACGTCATCTGTGAGAATTTCTCACAGCTATCTCTCTCTTCTCTGAAATAAATAGGAATCCACTTTTAAAATGTCAGTGTTTCATAGATGACGCAGTAAGTAGCGAACTATGTATGAGCATATCTCATTTTATCTCAGAAAATTGGGTATCTTCAGGTAGAATACGTTAATCAATGCCAATAATATTAACTCTAGGCTTCATTTTAATCATAGTACTGTATTAGCAAATCGACACAGTGGGCATATTCTTTAAAAATTACATTTTTTCACGAGATCTACTTGCTTCAAACTAAATTCGAATATCACTGAAATTCTCTGCATATTATACGCATGTGTTTTTGAAGTATTCTCGATTATCAGCTTCATAACACAAGATTATATTGCTGATTGTAGCCTAGCTGAAAGAAGATGTTCACTGAACCTTACCCTATATTAAATATATTGATGTTTCAAGCGGCTGTAAACAATCTGTACAGTTGTGTTTGAAAATATAGATAATATATATAGATTTTTATATGACACTCCACAAACGTTTAGATAAAATGACACTGTGAAATTTTCTGTGATCAAACAATCGTTATAAGAATTTGGTAAAAAAACTTATATGATCTCAATTGTAAATTCTGTACATAAAAATCTAAGTAGGAGGTCAAAAGATACTCTGAAAGAAACCAAAGTTCCTATTATGTAAGTGTTTTGTAAATAGTTTTTGGTAGTAAGAATTGTGTAGTTCGTAAAGTATTAAGAAAAATACTCCGAATGCTGTTTGACATAAGGCCTTGACGAAACTGGAAATAAACTAGAATAATTTGTAACATATGTCAAACGCTTATCGGTGTAGCAAAACTAGATTGCTGACATATGCAGAATAATCTCAGTTGATATATTTTTTGTCTCTGTCAAAGTGTACACCTACCCGAACCTAACAAAATACTCTTTAAGGGCTTGTGAGGGAAAGGTTGAACTTGACCGCCTCTGAAATAATATTCTTTAAACGAGTTCTTAAGAATTGAAGATGGCCATCTTTAGCGTGTTTCAGACTATAATAGAGCTGGGCCAGATCGTTCCTTTTGGTGATTTGATTCCATGGTTTGGGTTCCGGCATCGGGATAGATTGTTTCTATTAATGTAACTCCTGAAACATATCATGCGGCTTTCATGTTTATTGGACTCCACTCTCTGGCCGAATCAAACTACATATCTCTGTTTCTTGTACAACGTTTCGACCACCACTCTAGTATGCATTTCAGATCCATAAACAAGGCTACATTCAGCATTTGTAATTGAAAATCAACAATTAGCCAGTGTGTTGCGACAACAGAATTAAGTCGGTTTTTGCGTTTTCGGAGGACTTTTGGCGCTTTCAGGGGCTGGAGGTACTTTTGGGATGCCTACCCCAGGCGTTCCTGGACTTTACTGGTTTCACGCGGTGCCATCTTATTTACAATGGTGCCTTCGCGCATGTTACAGGACTATCCAGACTGTTGTAGTAACACACTGCATAGGAATGTGATAAGGAATAATTATTAAACAAATATCTGATGGAAGACAGATAAATAAAATATATTGTCACAGAAACATAAATACAACACTGGTCTGTAATTCAAACTTCATCACTCCATGCCAAACTATCTTTTCTATAGTTTCTTTTATTATATGTACTCCAACTAACACGAAAGTCCTAAGGCCTAAAATACCCATGGGGTACCGTGGGGCTATAGGGGGATACAGGGGAAAGGGGGACCGCCACACGGACTCTGGCGAGGGAACACGGTGTGCATGCAACATGCATCATTGCAACATTCTGGCCCTGCCTACGAGATCCGCCGGGTGGTACCTCTGCATTCGATGGTCAGAGAGGGTTTTTCGACCTACGGACAATCGCAACATAAATAGTCAAAAGAAAAATTTCTCTTGGGATGGGATTCAAACCGCACAGCGCACGGCGACTGATCAGGAGACCGAAGGCGGCTACCGCTGCTGCCTATCATTTAGAGCCGCAACTATACATAAATATCAAAATATGTATATGTGAATCCGAGCAGTAACCTTCAATTCACACAGTTGATCCAAATCCGACCCGATGCGTTTTTGAGGAATCGAAATATCAATCACTGAAGCCGGAATCAAAACCGTCGTAGTAGGAATCGAAACCACCCAAACCGGAATCATACGAATAGAAATCGAAACCATCGGAAGCGATTCCTTCGGGATCACTGAATGGATTCCTTCGGAACGATTCGTTCAGGAAAACACTGCTCTAGACTATGGCCGCTTATAACTCGAAAACGGGAAACTCTCCAAAAATGTTTTTTGGGCCACGGAAATCAAATCTGCACAGGGTTAACACCTAACATCCGGCAACCTCTTGATTCATGTTAAGGGTTCCAACAAACGAGATTATGATAAAAAAATCGAGTTTGAAAGTTTTCGGCTCGCCTAGGATTGATGGGTAAATCAGAATATTTATATTCTGCGAAAGGTTGGGAAATCTCGAAACTGGAGATACTACAGACCAAAATATGTGAATTGACCTAAACATACCTTAGTCCCAAAAGTGGATAGTTTACAGGGTGTCAAAGTTACAATTTTATTTTCTATTTTTCCTTATTGCTTGAGAATTATTTCAAATGTTGGCATAAAGCTCGGTATCAGGAGGTTTTCTAGTATGAGAAACAAGAATCCGTTATTTTTTATGGCCAAACTTTTAGAGGGCGTCACTTACATCACTATTTCGGTAAATAACTTATCATAACTTTTTTGTGCTACCCTGTATACAACAACTGACCGAAAAATCTTATTTTCTCGTATTTCCACAACAAAAAATGGTTTACTTGTTAGAAGTGTCTAACACTAATAGTTTTCGAGATAGGTATTAGTTATTAAAAGCTCCAATGCATTATTTGTACCATGATGATAAAAAAATGTTATAACACAATAATCAAGTTGCTTTGGATAATATCTGAGTAATCTTCATGAATAATTTTAAGTTGACAATAAGCTGTTAAACATCATATGGAGTATACGTTTGATGAATATTCTGATATGCATTTAATGTACGGATTGCCATGATGTAATGATTTTTGTTTCTCATACTAGATGACATATATGACATTAATGGCTCCACTCTAATTAGAAATTCATGGGAGATCTGTGAGCGCTTTACTGCTATATAAGAAAGGTCATTTCACAAAGGCGTCCGATTTTTACAAATATTTTAGCAGCAATCTATTTTTGGCTATTGTCTAGGTACGAATGTATAACTGGTCGCAAATGTCTGATTCACATAAAATCCCCTTTCAGCATTAACTGTATCACTCCATTTCATCTTAAGGCATGTAAAAATTAACGCAAGGTCAAATGTTAATGTGACTAATTTTTTCTGTTCGACTGTTCGTTTTGCAAAAGTCTGTCGTATCAGAATAGAAAATTATATTGTGGACTATTATTAGGAAACCTGTAAGATATGAATAGTAAGTGGAAAACAAAAGCTGTACTTTGTTCGTATTGTAGATGTACACAAAAATAAAAAAGTTGTGGTATCTAATATGCTGTTTTTATTTAACAGTTAGCCTGACCCTAGAAACGTAGTTAACATCAATATAGGTACGTATTATTACTCTCATACTATACGTATCGGGGATATAATAAAATAAATAATTGCCAACTACAGTACAAATATAATAAAATTACAATCTGTACCTCTACATATTTCACATTTATGTAATGAGGGTTCAGACTAAGCCTTCTTGCATTTGTTTGATGTCATATGAAACACCTAAAAATGAAAAAAAAGTATGACACTCGCTGAAATCTGGAGCGAAAAACTCCCTATTCGGTATATGAAGGCATATTCCGTATCCCCTGTAAAAGTTTTGCTGCGCCCCTGTTACGGCCCGTTCACACATGGGAGTCCGTTTTACTGGTACGTTTTTAACGGATACGTTATAAATTTATGCTCTGTTCACACATAGGCACCGTATAACGTTCAACGGATCCGTCATTACTTGATGCGATATGTGAACAGAAAACTCGCAGTTTACCGCCGCTGTTCTACAAGGATGGACTCTGTCATGTTGTATTGGTACTATCGTTGGAGAAGGAAGATTCGACGTTATTGGCAGCATCCACTTATGGCCCAAAGATCTAGAGAGGGTGCTTACAGTTTACTTATGAGTCCGTTACGAGGTGATGAATCGAAATTTTTCAGTTACTTTCGTATGTCAATGTCTACTTTTGATGAACTTCTTAAACTATTGGAAAATGATTTAAAAAAGCAAGATAATCGTTAGAGGAAAAGTATCTACCCAGAAGAAAAACTAGCGATATTTTTAAGGTACGTACTTTTATTTTTAAAACTCGGACAGATCCAACGTAACATCACTGTATACAGATTGTACTGGCGATAGTGCACTATCAGTAGGCTGTGAGCTGCTAGTATCACTGTATACAGATTGTACGGGCGATAGTGCACTATCAGTCAGCTGTCGTCTGCTAAAATAGCCCTGAGATTGATAGTGACTAGCACGAGATGTTTGTGTATAGGCTGACCAGTCATAAGTTGACTGGCCAACTCTGCTATGTTTAATATTTTGTAATAGGTTTATCACCCCTGACAGGAATTTCAAAGTTTGGTCCTCATCGAGCAAAGCCAAGGACGGCAAAATACCTTTGAAGAACGATCAATTGCGATCATCCTGCTCAATTTTCTTCGGTTTTATCTGATAGTCAATGTAGGACATCATTTTGGCTTCCATTTCATTATTTTTTTTTTTTGGCTGGTGCTCTGCGTTTTGGCGGGGGGCTAGATTTTGTTTGTCCTTGTCATTGTCAAGTTGTGTCATTGTAGTCACACTGTCATCTGTTTGTGGGTTCATTCGATGTCGTGGCGTCATCTTCGGTATGTTCTTCAGGTTGTTTAGCAGAGACGCTTTCGTGCGTTTCACCAGCAGGAACTACTTTTTTCAAAAACAGCATCTGATTATGTTATTTGTAGGGCTTCGTGTTTGAGACAGCGGAACCAGACGTCTTGCAATTCTTTTTATCTTTTAGTGTTCTCATCCAGGCATCTCTCATCTGTCTCCACTTTTTCATAAAAAGTTTTCCTGTAACAAGTAATAAAACAATCAATTTTTTTCAGGTATGCAGCATTCGGGTGTTCATTTAAAGATATTCATTACACCTATCGCGTTCGTGTATCGACTGTTAGCAACATTATTAAAGAAGTTTCAAGATTCATATGGAACAATTTAAGTGAAAAATTTATGCGACTTCCTACATCAGTCGACGAATGGGAACAGGTAGCAAGTGGATTTAACAAAAAAGCTAATTTCCCCTCTGTCTCGGAGCTGTCGACGGAAAACATATCCGACTTAAAAAACCACTAAATAGCGGTTCACTGTATATCAATTACAAAGATTTTTTTCCATCATATTATTAGCGATCGTAGACTCTGACTATCGCTTTGTATACGTCAGTGTCGGATCTTATGGAAAAGAATGCGATTCATCAATATTCAAGGAGACAACATTTTGGAAAATGACGCTAGACGGCAGTTAAATACCAGCACCATGCGCATTAACAAGAGACTCAGAAACGAGAGTTCGTTATGCGGTCATTTGAGACGAAGGTTTCGGATTACACGAAAATTTACTAAGGCCGTTTGGCGGGACACATCTGGACAAAAATAAGCGAATATTCAACTATCGTTTGACTAGAGCTAGGAGATACGTTGAATGTGAGTTCGGTATCTTACCTAATAAGTGGAGAATGTTCCATCGACCTCTAGACATCGATAAAACAACAGCTGTATGGACTGTTAAGGCATGTACTATTCTACACAACTTTTATAAGGGACAAGGAGGGCTCAAACAGTGATAATAACGTATCTGAAGAATTTAGTTACGAAAACCTACCCCATGAAGTAAGAACACGAGGTGGTAATACTACCAACTTAGTTCGAACAGAATTCGTGAACTATTTCATGTCCGAAGATGGATCAGTCCCATGGCAGGATGAAGCTTTTCAGAATGTAATTAAATAATAAAACAGACACCGAACTCTTGCCTTTGTCTTTGTTCCATAGCCTCTAAATCCTCCATTAGAGTGACGCATATTTTGCGCCTACCCGCAATACTTGCAGTATTGTCTTTGTATTTATCCAGCGTCTTGTCCCAAAGCACTGGCCCATCTTCCACCAAACTAATTAAAATTTCCTTGTCTATTAACTTTTCCCACTCCTTGGTTGACATGGTTTATCAGTGATTATAATAATTATTACACACAGTGCACGCGCGCGTTCTCTATGAATGTACAATAGAAAATGCGAGTCAAAACCTGTCGTATCACTCCCCCTCCTACACCCCGCACACACCGCCCACCACGCACACAGTATCTATCCGTTAAAATTCTACGTATCCGTATATTTTTACTGTTTGGTCGTCCAGTATTCGATGACAAAACGGAATGTCATATTTTAACGGAACAGTATTTTTTACTGTATACAGTATACTGTACCATGTGTTACGTCGCTCATACAACTATATACGCCACCGACGAAAAAAAAAACGTATCCGATAAAACGGAGAGCATGTGTGAACGGGCCGTTAGACGGGTCTATAATCAAATTCAAGCGGATAACCAAATGAAATTGGTATTTACCATTTTGGATTGGTATTTACCGATCCGTTCAAGCGAGTGTGGCTATCAGTTTGCTTATAGGATCCGTCACGTTATGAATCAGCTGTTATATGTCATAGTTATCACCGTAAAATTGTGGTATTTACCCGACTCAGGAGTAGTTTTATATTTTTGGTTATTATTTGAAATGTGACAAGTTAGAAATTTGCCGGGTATGGATATTTTTATTGTACTTCAGCTTCATTTTCGGGAATCTTGATTACAGGCTGACTTCAGTTTTAACATAAAGTAGAGCACCTTATTAGTTATACTCATTACCTTTGTTGGGGACACTTTAAATCTAGTTCCTATGCTTAACAAAGTATCATGTGTAGCCATATACCACAAGAATATTAAAATATGGCCATATAAACATCACTGGCTGATGTCCACCTGTATGCGCGGTTTTGTTAATATCTTTTTTCGTTTTTTCCTATCATTTCTGCTAAATCAATAAATATTTTCTTTGACATGCGGAAAAGTTTAGAGAACTGAAAGTTATCATAGCTACACAGCCATGGTTCCATTATTAAAAAAAAATCTTCTGAAAAAAAAAACGTTTCTCCCATTAATATGAAAGGTTTCTTTTTAAACTTTCCATACACCGTTGTACACGAAAAACCACCGATTATTAAGTGATAATAAAAATAATCAGAAATTATATACGGGCTTTTCTAAAATAAACAACTTGCAACAAAACCGCGGTTAAAACCAACGCGTTCAAGCGATTCGAGCAACAGACGTCATCAACCCCTGTGTCATCTTCAATCATATTATAACCCCAGTACCTAACACAGAAATTTGGTTATTCACTTGGATTTGATTTATGTTGCTCCGCCACTGGCACCACTTTTTTTGAATATTTCTCGGTCACCTACCGGCAAGAACTGTAAGCCTCTGCTTATCTTTTCTGCCGGAAATCGCCTCATAGCCAAACTTCAGCTTCTTACGAGTAGATAGCAGCCCGGTTTCGTTATTTAAAATTTCGCTGGCTAGATGGCAGCACATAACATGGAGATGAAATCTGTAAAGTAACCAACCATTGAAAAGGGTAAAATAATATAGCGTCAGAAGATGCCGCGACACGCATTGCTTACCGCCACTATGCCTTCAGTTCCAGCTGTACTCGGTTCTGAAGTTTTCATGTTCTGTCTCTTTCTCACGCTTGGAATTAATAAAGGAATTTGGAGCCGAGTAGTAATTGGAACCGACCATGAACAGGTTTTGTGTGGCGTTCCACAGATAACGTTACTCTTCAACAGTCGCCATAGTGACAATTGTGTGTGACTTGTTTCCGAGGGAGATGGATAGAGTGTAATTTTTGGACGAAGTGATTTGTTATTTTTCTCGTGTGAACGGTCCTTAGATTGTGAATTTTTGCGCGAATCGTGTGTTTTTGTGCTTTGCGGTGTGCTCGAGACTGAAATGGATGTTTTCTCTGTTCACCTACTGCAATAATTTTACAATTTTCTGGTAAGTGCATCCTTTGATTGTTGTCTGCAGTGCTCTGATTTTTATTGCAAATTCTGGCTGCATTTTTAAGGTTCAGAAACCTTAGAGGCTAAAAAACATGACCATGTCATGTTTTTCTAGTAATCCAATAGCATTTACAGTTGGCTTTATCAACCGGTAGTATAAATTTTTAATCTTGAGAAATTCTTGGTATTATTAAAATTATTTTGTAATTAGTTCTAGTCCCCTGTAATCTTGCTGAATTCATCTCGACCTTTCATTGCACTCTCTATGGATCATCACATTTATTACTCGCTACCAATTACGCTTGCAATGCCGGTTGAAACAACAGTTTTGCTACAGAATATCGAAGTGACACATCCATCATCTGTAGATCTCGATTTTACGCAGCTTAGATAAACAAAAACTAGGTCCATGTAACAAGACACCTGAAAAGTGCAATATTTTTATTTATGTAAACGAATCAAAAGCTTATAACACAACCTATAGTATTCATTACGTACAATTGTCCATTATTTAATGAAACTAGATTTACAGACCTATAAATAAATCTATCTTCAACTGAATTTCTTTTAAGAGTGAAGTGTTTTCAATTTACATTGTTTCAACTTTTTGTTATGTTCAGTTATCTGTTTCAATTTACCGGTCGGTTAGTCCACTTTACGGGTGTTGATCCATAATAAGTAATTTAGGACCTTTTGGAATTTGAGAATTCTTTCTGCTACAAGAGCTGCGATCAACTCCTATCCATGTAGGTATTAAAAAATAACTCATTCGATTACGAAAATGGCCTGGAAAATGCATTATTATACTGCTAAATCGGAGATAATGAGTTTGAGTATCATCCAATTTCATTCCTTACCATGTTGCGAAAATAGCCATTGTTGATGTATTCAGAGTGTTGTTTTACGTACGTGTTTGATAATGATGCTCATTTTGTTTATGATTTTTAAATACTGTTACACTCTGTATAGTGTGGCAGCTTTATCTCTAGATCTTTCGATATATCTTTCTCGAAGGTTGTAGAATTTGAGCTTTCTAGATAAGTGACCTTCACTGACAACCAAATACCACTGACGTCGTAATGTATACGGAAAGCGAGAGAAGCGTGCAATACGTGTTAGAAAGAGATAGAAGCACCGCGTTGTCTAGCAACCTGGGTACGAGGTCTCAGATGCCATCGCCGCACTCTTTCTAACATACATATTGCACGCTTATCGCGCTTCTCTCTGGTACACGTCAGCCGAATTTGAACCTCACTGTATAATAGAGTGGTGGGTTAAGTACGTTTTTAAGCGAAAAAATGTGAAAAGGCGAGGAGTATTTCATTTCAAATGGGACAAGAGGAGGCCATTAGTCACAGTACTATATTTGGCTGATTCTAAAAAAATGGGTAACTCAGTGTCATCAATAAATAGATATGAAGTTTTATTATATTTTGTGTAACAGTATTTAATTTTATTTTAAAACAACTAAAGGCCTTTTATTTGGCCACCCAATAGCAGCGATTTATTTTAAATATAAGTTTTTGAAACATTACAATAAATGCTCAAAACGTCAGTCATTTGGCATGACACAATCCCAAAAATGTGCAATCATGTGGCCGTCTATTAAACATTACATTACCATTAATTTAAGAAAACTTGCTGTTTTATTACACTCTGTGATGTACCTAATAATGTAGTACAACTTTCATAATATAATATTCTCAGCGTTAGTTATAAAAAATTAAGAAATTTTGTGTTTACTTCCATTCATCAGTCCCTTGTGTGTTGTTCAAATATGAAATTCTCGCCAAATATCTCAGACTCGAGATTGCATCCCTGTTAAATTCAAACGTCGATAGTGAAGTTAGCTGCAGACCATGCCATTTGACAACCGCCCATACTATGCCAGTGCTAGAATTCTGGTTACCGCGAATACGCGTGCTGATCTAGTCAAAATATCAGCACTATGGTGAGGCGCCATTTCCTTACAAAATTCAGTTTGATTTTGATTCAAATGTAATTACCTATAATCTGTTGAAATGTAGCTTGTTAATATTTGAAAATAAAAGAAACATTAGTTCAAATTATAATCTCAAAATAAGGTCTTTTTCGTCAGTTCTTTGGCGTCAGTCCTTTGTCTAATATTGCGTCAAATATCTGACGGGCTTCCACGATACTGATTTTTTTTTTGTTTAGATCGCTTTTATCTCAACTACAGCTATGTGTAAATATTTCTTTTACTTAGTTCTGTTTAACCCTCCTAAAAACAAAATTTGTCCAGAGAAAACATATTAAAATAAAAGTGAAGCCGAAAAGGCTCGCATGTTCAGAATCAAAAGCAACTCCATTAAATTAGCTAAATACAAAGAAACACAAAGGTTGAGGTATTTACAAAAGGAGAAGGGACAAAGACAAGTCGGGAGCAATGGATAACTAGAAAAAGTAGTCGTCAAGATTCAGGCAAAAAAACAACTGCTGAAACAAACTCGTAATTATACAGGGTGATGGGAAAATAGATGCGGAGCCAGTGGGGGGAGATAGTACAAGCCAATCTGAGTTGATTTTACTATAGGAACTACTGTCCCAAAATTAGCCGTTTTCGAGTTATACTAATTTTAAGATTTTATAAAATTAACGTCCTTTATACGGTAACCAAGTCATTAAACTTGAAAATTGGGTGTTTCATTTGGTTCATTTTTTTTTGGTTTTACAATAAAAATATTCTAAAATACGAAAATTGATACTCAAGTGTACATCATTGACGTTATCTCATGCAGTAAGCTTCAAAACAGTTCGGTTTTTGTTAGAAAAATCTTCGTTCATCTCAAACGCTTCAGTTTACTAGAAAAAGTCCCATACAAATTTTTCGTACAAAATAATTAGAAATCATCTACGCTTCATTACCTTTCAAATGAGGTATAAAAATCACAAATGGATTAAGAATTGGCGAAAATATGACTATTATAAGAGGAAGAAGGAAAAAGCAATAAAAATACTACACTTACAAAATCATACCTTAATACAGGATAATTTGTTTGAAACTACATTTCTTTATTTTTACAATACATTTTCAATATGGCGCCCTCTATTTCTAATGCACACACGTGCTCTTCTTATGACAGCTGATTTTACTACCGCCGAATTCCTAAGAGAGGCTTGAATTTCTAGTACTGCATGTATTAATCTGTTTCTGAGGTCTTCTATTGTGGGTAGAGGATTTTGATCAGAGTATACTAAAGTTTTCATGCAACCCCACACAAACAAGTGTGAGATCGGGACTGCGTGCTGGCTATGGGATTGGTCCGCCTCTGAAACAGTTTCCGAATCGATGGATCTATGCTACTCAGCCAACATCATTAGAAGACCTCCGACAAAGAATTGCGAATGAGTGCGTTCAAATCCTCCTCAAATATTGCAAAATGTGCGGCAACGTTTTGAGCATTTACTTGCCTAACGGGTCAGTTCATTCTTCATTTTTAAATTACTTTGCTGCCAAATGTATTGATCTCCACTAATGATGATGTATTAGTTTTATTCAAGCTTTAAATCAATAAATCTTTAAAACTACTGAACTGAAGTACATTAATTTTATATCATTATAAAGTGAATTGAAAGACCTTTAAAATAAGGTATCACTCGACCCCCCTTTCCATTTAGGATTTTGAGGGTGGTGTCACCCCCGCTTAGGGGGCTGCACGTGCTAACGTAACTTTTTGTCAAGCTTGTGTCCCCCTCGAAAACAAAATCGACGGGTCTGAGCGTTTTTCAAAAAAAAAACTGAGCTGCCAGTAAATGCGTCTTGTTTCGTTTTAGATGCGCCACCCAGTATATATAATATACTTGCCGGATGGTATGGAAAGTCTTTGTGAGAAGTTTTTTAATACTGTACCATTTGTGAACAGATATTCCCTATTTACTCATTGTTAATAGTTACTATAAGACGAGCAATTATTTGATTACAAGAAATGTGTTCAAAGTTTTAATAAATTTCATGTTTTCTATGAAACTGCGTATTTTGTCAGTCCTATGTTACTCTCATCAGTAGGTAAAATCTACTCACTTGAGTGACTGGCCGGATTTGGAACAATATATATAACATTATATTATCTGTCTTGAATACCCAAATTTGTAGATATTTGATTTGAAAACTATTGTAAACAAAATATCTCTAAAAGTTGAAGAATTTTTGTATATTCACCCATTTGCCATATCGTAATATACTCAAACAAGTTAAAAAAAGTTAACACCAGGCGCAAAGACTAAGAAAATGAGAGGATAACTTAATATTATGCCATACTAGTGTTCTTTGGTCTTTTCTGCGCCCTTTGACTTTGTCCTGCAAGACTTTGCTAAAGGTCAGAATTAATCAAAATTGAATTGAAATTCAATAAAGCAGAACACTGCTAGTTTTCATTTTATTGAACTATAATTACTTGTCAGTAAATAAAATTACAATTAACGGCTTTTTCAATATATTATTCAACTGGAAAATGTGTGAATTTTTTTAAGGCAACTTACCTTTCACCAGCATCATTATCGCAATAATCGTTGGGATATTTCTCATACACAATTTTCTGCACAGAACATTGGATTTATCGTATTTTTTGCTCAATCAGCACCACATTTATTTCATGGAAACAATTACGGCGATTATTGCAAATCTCGATACAGATTGACTAAGCATCTAATAGTAATAGCTAGTGGTGCTTTCCGAGAATCAATCCGAACATGACATACTAAAATCACCCGAAGGCTCAGCCAATTGTAGTTGAAAATACGTAAGATTTGCTATGAGATACGCTACTGGTTGTAATGTAACTACAACATAATCACTCTAATGTTTGTATCACGTTTCAATATAATACACCGCCATGTCGCAATCCCTTACCCTTTTGTCTGTTGACGACGACACGTCGGGTAGTGACCCTTTGTCCCCATGTTCCGTTTATCCCCACCCAGTACTTAATATATTATTTAGCAGGTACCGGTATACCGATATGTGTGACTCATTCACTTCTTGACCTCACACCTGACAGCTTCCTGAAGTTTAAGATGAACTGAAAAGAATGAATAGAAAAATAGATCAGTCATCATTGACGCAACATAGAATTAATTATCCTTCCAAGCCGTTTTACCAGAAACAATCCCTACTGCCAAAAAAATGCCGAAAAGCCTAACGAGTCCTTAGTGCCGCCGACTTTATACGGGTGAACAAGTATTGTAATCGCGAAACATTTTGAAATCGATATGTTTTTCGATGTTATATTGAGATACATCACGAAAAACCATGACACTCATTTCCGTACGTCTGTCTGCCTGTCTGTCCGCGAATCCTTGTCCCATCTATAACTTGGAAAGTACCGTTCGGATTTTGATGAAATTTTCTCATAAGGTTGCTATCGTTCCAGTGAT